CTTTATTTATTGTTTACTCTGCAAACCAAACAGTGTTCTTCGTACTCAAAAGGAACACTCGACCTGCATGCACAGACCTACAATTGTATACTTGCTATAGTATACACAAGGAAGAGTGCACTTATCATAGTACACACCTATAAGTGTGTACTCACCAGTCCAGTATACTATCCCTGATGAGCGGACGGGCAGTCCGTGGAATGGTCCGCAACTGTCCGTGGCTGTCCTTGTGCAGTCCTCCGGTATTGTCCGACCAATTTTCTCCGACCGGATGATTTATCCAAAACCCCCAACCCCTACTGTCCGACATAGATTTGTCCAACCCATTTTTCTCCGACCTCGTTGATAAGCCGAAATTTAGGAAGTATGTGCTTCAAAGACGAACAGGCTTCAGAGGCCATGAAGGGGTACTAAGTGCAGTGAGGGAAAGACCGCGACTATGCCGGAGTGTGCAGCCCTACGTCACAGAACAGTCAAAAGTCCGCTCGGCGCCGTAAATGCTCAATCCCAACTCCCCCCCACCCAGGCAAAAAAATTGAAAATGGGGATGTACGCCCCTCATCCCGCAGTCGACTTCTGAGTTCTGTATATTTGAACCTCGGTGTAAACAAAAACAAATTACCTCCACATCTTACATAAGTAAGTGTGGATTTAGAGTTTACGAAACGCAAGCGTTATTTTCACGCCAGGCGTGATTTTTACGCTTCGTAAGCTTCACGCAATCAGAGATCGACTTTCATCACGCTTTGCGTGAGAATCTCGTTCGCTTTTAGGGAATTCTGAATCCACCTTAAGTGTTTTTGAACCATTAAGTTTTAGGTTTTAAGACGATAAATAATGCGCTCGGCTCATCAGGGATAGCAAGTACACACTATTACGTGTGTGCTTGCAAGTCAACTATTCCTTGTGTGACCGAGTGTACACTGGTTAGCAGAGTGTCACGTCCGTCTTTTGTGGCCTCTCTACCTCACCCCCGTGTCCCTGGCTATTTCCTGCTGGAAATCAGAGTTTGTCGCTGGGATCCCTAATTGGATATTCCGCTGGAAGGCGAAACAGGAGTGACGCGTAAGAGTATATTTGACACGCGAGTCGACGACGAACAATTTATAATTTAAAAAGTCGTATAGTTCTGCTCAGCTAAGTTTTGGTGAATAGCAACCTAAAAAAAAGAAGAAAATTCCCCCCCCACTCATTGGAGATGAATGATACGGTCGGGTTGTTCGGTAACGCCTGGTGACGCACTTGTCCAGGTGTGCTGCCCCCTGCTGCCCGAGGACTGCGGCCCCAACAACACGTCGGACAGGATCATCAGCTCCGCCGGCCACCAGACGTCACTGGAGGAGTTCCCGTGGGTGGTCCGCCTGGGGTACCGCTCTGCCGGTGAGGACAAATAATACAGGAAACACTTATTCTCGCGAAAGAAGCAGGGTGTGGATTAGGGCAGTGTTCCACAGGTTCTGGAGAGATCACATACCACTGTGCGGGCTCCCTTATCTCCAACCGCTTCGTGCTCACCGCGGCCCACTGCGTGCAACAAAAGGAGCCGTAAGTCCGTCGGCTAGGTGACCACCTACCAGTTCTGTGATAGTAAACCAGACAGAACCCCCGTATATGACCTGCCTCGCTGACTCCAGATCGGTGGTGCGCCTGGGCGAGTACGACACCATGACCGACCCCGACACCGAGCCCATATTCTCGCACTCCGCGCCCAGGTCGACGTGCTCGTGGATCGGGTCGTCGTCCACCCCGGCTACGACCCGAAGAAGGACATGCTGGATGACATAGCGCTCGTGCACCTTGAGGAGCCCGTCGCCTTCTCCGAGTCGGCGCAGCCCGTGTGCCTGCCGATCGAGGCCCACGCCGCGCGGTACAGGCCGGCGCTCAAGACGGTCGTCGGCTGGAGGATGTTGCCAGACAACGGTAAGGGGCGGCGCCGGCGGCGCAACAAAGATGTCCTTGTTCCTAATTTTTATGTAAAAACAACACGAACAACAACACCAAAAACAATAACAAATTCTTACAAATTGAGGTACAACCCGTGTGGAAAAAATTGGCGAAAATTGACCCAAACTCGTCCGAAACTCGTCAGAAATTTTCGGACG